TATATATATATATATATATATATATATGGAATACTGCCCTCACTAATACACCTGTGCTTTCTGTTCTCTTTCAAATTAAAATGGCTGCCATGGCCATTAAGGATATACGCAGTAATGAAGCACTGATGTGGTTAATTATTATTCAATTCATTTCAGGTGTGCCAATGAGCCACAGATTTTGTCCAAAGGACTACATTCTCTGTCTTATCTACTATAAAAAAGACAAAAAATATTCAAAAAATTGTATGTGAAAGCAGAATTGTTTAATATTGTTTAATTAATTAGTTTAATTGAGTTTTTCTCCAGTGTGACACATAAAACCTTTAGACCTGTCTAGACACAGATGCACATTTTTCAGCACAACACATAAAGCTGCCAAGAAGTGTTAACAAACATCTTGAAGAGGAAACATATAGACAACTGGGTAAAAATGTGGGGCGCTAAAGTAGCTACGTACAAGCTAACTAGCCTAGCAATTAGCCTAACTCACAAAAAAGATACAGAAATTGACAAGGCTTACATTATGTAGCTGTTTAAAGTGAATGCTGCGCTACCTTTTTGCAGGAAGTTTTCTTTTGCTCCATTTTCCAAATGTTTTCCATCCTGTCATTAAGTGGAGCTGCTTACACCTGCAGCCTCATACTGCTTGTGATTGTAGTGTTGTTTGACTCAGGGTCAAAGGTTAACTTTCCTTGGCTGTCACTATTATTTTCTCAGACCGACAGGCTGACACTTTCCATCAGCCTCACGTAAAATGGAAAATAAATAAATCCTTTCAGGATAAACCGACTCAATGGCTAAAGACTAAATTGCTTGGTTGTTCAGGTGGTAAAGCTCTTGTTGAAATTTGTAAACGGCGTTTTCTTTTATTTTTGATTTCAAACATTTTTATTTAGATAACCTCAAATAATCCTGCAAGAGCAAGATAAAGTTTGGACCATTAAACACACTAAATTTGATCCAAAACAGAGTAACAAAAGTGTGAGAAAACTTACCACTTTCCATTGGAGCTTCTTCGGCAATAAAACACCCATACCTCATCCCCACAGAATGTAGTAAAACATGCCTTGTGGAAACAACTAACTCTCTCCAGGGATTGTATTTTGTGGTTCTTTATTCTCGTGTTTTGCTGAACAGACCATTAACTATTTTAAGATCACGTCTTTGAAATCTTACAATATCAGCTTTAAAATAATTAAATATAAAATAATTTCCAGCAGTCTGTTACATATTTCACATCACCACACAGAACAATGCTGTTTCTTTTTGAAGTGATCATTTAGGAGGAATCGTTCCAAACAGCAGTTGTTTTTACAGCTCATGCTGCACAGAGCTGCCAACACTGATTTATCAGAAATCTGTGTCTTTCTTGACCTTTGTAAATCTCAAGTACATTTAGATCCATCCAGAGTTGTTGCACATTTGCATTGTCACTCAGTAATGCATTTCCCCTTTGGGGTGTTTTATTTCTCTTGCACCCAGGAGACAGGAAACATCACTGCTGACAACTGTCAAGAAGTTGACTGGACATCCATGAGGACTGGAAACAAATTTATGACATTATAAGCCAAATGAGATGAACAAATTTTATTGTTTCATATGTTGCTGCTTGGCCCTGGTGCATTCATTTGCACTCCATATGAGGAAAAAACAATATTTTATTCAGTTTTAAAGTTAACAATACCATTTACTTTGCGTTGTAGTGGCTACATTTAGATAATTAAAAATCCCTGTGTAAAGTCACTGAGGACCATGATTACATTTATTTGTATTAAAAAAAATGTTCAAGCTTATGAAGTTATTCTCTACCTCCCCCTCGAGGTGCAAAGCTGGAAATACATCTTCAACACGATTAAATGGCTAAAATGCTTTATCAATACTTTAATGCTAATTAAAATTAAATGCAAGTCAAATCAATCCCAAAGACAAATGAGATCCAAATCAGCGTCTTTATTTTACAAACGCATTATTCTATGGACATTTTATGTATAATAAAAAGGCAATTTACAAGCTTAAGAACCAAAATGAAGCAGCACAGAATGATTATGAGTAAAATATATCATTTGAATAAATATATTTATTTCATGCTATAAAATAAATTCATAAATGGCAATAGATACAATGTCAGCTGTAGCTTCATTTACTTCATAGTTGTATAAAAGAGTAGAGTTCTGAGGTTCACAGTTGGGTTGTGAGGTTGTGTGTAGAGTGGATAAAACAGAACATGGGACATTTCTGCTGTTATGGTTCGGTTCGTGGTCTCCAGTGGGCCTCGAGTTTCAGTTCTGTGGACATTACGGACTTGCTGAGACCTTGAGGCAGAATGCTTGGGAGTCATTGACTGGAGACTTTGTTTCCCCAACCTGAAGAACACGGCACAAATACACTATGGACAGAGGATAAATGTCCAATGAGACCACTTTTAGCATGATATACCCTGAGTTCAATGGTTGTTGTTGTTTTTTGCCTTGTCACCAAGCACATGCAAACCAGAGACATTATAGTGCAGTTTCATGATTCAGAAAAGGGGTACAGAACATCAGCTAACCAAACCCTTTCCTTCTGGTCTTGAACTACAACCACTGTCTCAAAACAGGAGGAGCCAAAAGGAGATCACTGAACCTCAACATGCCAACAGAGAGGCCACTCCCAGTGGCGTTACAGCCCCAAAAATCCCTTTCCTTAGCTGACTTAGGTGGAGGTGCACCTGTGAGTTTTAGAACTGAACCATGCTGTTTCTGTGTTGCAGTTTACTGACTACCACTGGATTTTCACGAGCATTTCAAACATCTCTTAGCAACACCATTTTTTTCACTTGAATACTTTTAATAAGTCAACTTGTCCAAAAATAATAAAATATATAAAAAGTAAATCAAAACCAAATCACCGTGGTCCTCCATTTATTTAACAGTTCCCTGACTTTTAATTTGTTTTAACAGCCTTGATGATCCCAATAAACCACTTTCACTTTCAAAAAGGTTATTGCTCTCTTTCAGTAATACACAGTGGACATCAACCGACAGAAAAGCCATGGAAGACTTATGATTTTTTTTTCTTATTTTCTAAATCTGTATCAGTGTTCGTCAACTACCTGAAGTGAGTTTATTAGAAAAGGAATAGGACGAGCTGCAATTTCAAAAAGTAGTCGGACAGCCTTCCTTGTAAACACTTCCTGTTGATTAATTGTGGCCCAAAATGAACATCCTTTCACTCTCAGAGAGCGAGAATAAAAGGTCGACAAAGAGCAAATTGAAGAGTGTGTCACGTTCAGTTGGTTTTGCACTACCACAAAAATAGTTATAGCTTAAAGTTTTGAACAATCCTGCCTCCATTAACCAATCAGAAATTTGTTACCCAAGAGAAAAACACTGACTAGTCCAAAAGCACCACTTACGGGAAAAAAGGTCCCTGCCTCTCAAAATGTTTGTGGGGACTGTAACCGAGTCCCTAACAGGTAGATAAGGAGTTAAAGAAAACTTTACGGATGGAGCATATCTGTGGTTTTGACAAACAAAATAACTTTAAGTGCACAGTCAATGAAACAAAACAAAACCTTAAAGTTTCAATTGGCAATTCTATACAATTTTGTGGTTAACCAACATGCAATTCAGCTACAGTATAAGGATTTGCTTTTTTTCCCTGCACAAATACTCAGTAGATTATCTGCTAAATATTCAAGCAGTTTCCTACTCTAAGAGAACAGAGAGGAAGTTGATTTATATTCATCATGCATCTCCTTCCTTCACTGAAATGCCTCACCTGGAGTACACTGCTCAGATTGTCTTGGAGTAGTTTCTGAACATAACATGGGCACTGGTGAGCAGGAAAGTCTGCCTCATTTGATTGTGATCAACTGCTACAAAATCAGTGACCCAAAAAAGACTAGGTGAAAATCAGAAACAAATATTAAGCCAAGTCTAACGTAAAGAATGAGAAAAATTTATTTCTATTCATTCTTGGCACCACTTTATAAGAAATGTGGTCATGTTATCCTATCATTCTTTGTTGTTCTAAAATGAAGGAGGCACAAACATCCAAGTGCCAGAATCTAAAAGATAAAGCTTGTGGCAAGGCACTAAGTTTAAGATGCCCCTCTATGTAGTTTTCTCTCTTGTGTTTATGCAGACTTTAAGCAATTATGTTACCTATTGCACGTTTCTATTGTCAACTTTTGTATGGCTTAATATATATTACTTATGACTTTACTACTGAAGTTCATAGATTATGAACTTCAAATTTTACAGAAATGATTGTTATAAGCTGAGAAATGAACATTAACTGCAAATACCAATAAACTAATCCTATATTAAATTAGAAACCTATGCTTCTTAACAAGCTTTCAGTTACATAATATAATTCAAACTGGCTGTAAAAGTCACCTATTAGTCTTTGGTGAGATGTCTTGGCACAAAATTATTTAGAAGTTTTTACCCATTATTCATAAAATAGTGATATTATTTTCCTAGATGTATACATACTCTTTTTTTTATTTTTTTTTTTGCCTAAATAAGGGACAAACACCATTGCTGTGAAATTTAGTCAGCATCTGATTTTGGTGAGGTCAGAGCTGTTGACAAACCTGCATGTGTCAGCTTTTAAGAGATAGAAACTTCACCTGGTAAACATTTATAGGCTGACAGACTGTTTGCTGTAACACAAATAAGTCTTTGTGATTGATTCGTATACAAGAATAAAAGGTAAGCTAGCTATAGTAATCTTTTAGCAAAATTCTCTAAATTTTGGTTTGCCATTTTGTCTGTCAAAGAATAAAGATGACAACTGTACATTCAGAGGAAATAATAAAAAAAGAACAAATGTAAGTTCAGACAAGCAAACAATATTCTCCCACCAAATGCACAATAAGCAAAAACTTAATGAAAACTGCTCAATATTCAATTTTAAGTTCTATGCAAAGTCAGCATAGGCCAGACAAAAAAAAAATAGCATGTGCTCTTGAAAACTACAAAAAAATAAAAAAAGGCATTTAACATCTTGATTGCGAATAAGAAAGCAGAGTAGCACAAATAGAACCTTCTGGCTGAAATTTTTATCTGCAAACAATTAATCTGACACTTTTTAAGTGCCATTTTATATAAAAACTACCCATCCCTGATCCCCATAGCACAAAGAGTATAGATTAAAAAAAAGTCATGCCACATGCATGACTTCTATCCAACAGTATTCATGAGATTGCCGAGTGTCAATGGTTTTATGCAGTAACATTTACTGCTGTGAAGCAAGTTACACAGAATCTGATAAATCAGGATTATTCTCCATGCAGATTTGCTCAATTTAATCACCTGAACAGCGCTTTGCCCAAAGGTCACTCAGCAAACTGCATCAATACTTTGAATAACCAACTACATTTTAAAACATTTAAATCTTAACCTTAATTCTTCTATGCCGCACTTGTGACAATGTTATAAAGTTGAACTGACAAATGAGGAAATGATGTTCCTTATCTGGAACACAACAGTAAAATGAATCAAAGTCTTTTCAAATAATGGAATAAAAACCATCTGACAATGGCTGAGATTCCTTTGTTCATTCTTTTTGCATATTGTTCAAGACTGTTCCTTATGTGCTAAGTTGACGAGTACCCCTGTCTCTGTCAAACACTGAGTTTTATATTGGAAGCCTTCCTCAGGTTAAAACAAGTACATTATGTATAAATATGCCATCAGGCTATAGAGGAATATAAATTACTTTCTAACTATGTGGACGTTTTTCACCCATTGTCTGGATGATACAACACCATGCCTGGGCCAACTTGAGAGAGACTTCCAGTAGTGATGTGCGATAAAATTCTGAAGTGTTTTGTATAACAATTAGTACAATACAGAAAAAAATGTAATCTTGAAATTATATAACAGCCATTTGCTTGATCTGTTTTCCCACATTTGTCAAAAGCACATAAGCTAGCAAACTTAATGCACTCCTGACATAGCACCTTCTTAATTATAATTTTAACCTGGCTGACCATAAAACAAGAACTTTGTTCCTAATCCATACAATCAGCAAGGAATATTTCCCCCCCAAGTATCAAGGCTTTGTGTTAAAAGAACATTTCTTACAGAGTTTGGCAATAAGATAAACTGTACATAAAACCTAAAACGGATTTAAACGGTGAGCACATTTGTGCATTGTAGGTTCCTGGCTATGAGGTAGAACCCGGTGAGTTTCAGTTAAGTTAAAATACTGTTATGAGTATGTAGTTGCAGCATGAGGTATTGAACAGGTATGTCACACGAAGCTTTGCACTGGCAGAAAAATCATTCCTTGTGAGTAAGTGACCTCCAGTGGTCACATGTGCAAAAACAGGTCAGATAAAAAGGTGATATGACAAGCATCTTACCAGAGCTTTCACATTATCAATTATTGCAACATGCCTATATAACTCTAAATATTTTTTAAAAAAACATGGAAAGATAAAAAGAGAAATCAACTAGAGGTCTTGATTATTAGGACCACCTCAAAAATAGTAAGTTGTTACTCCCTTTGCTTAAATGATTTTTTTTTTTATAAAGCATTTGTTTCCCCTCTGCATTTCGCAACACACTTTACAAAACTGACAGAAACCCTTGAATTGAGAAATGTCCATAGCAGAGAGAGCTGATTCAAAAACAGGGGTACTTTAGATTGAGTTGAAATAATCATTTCTTAAAGCTTGCTTCACCAGAAGCAGAACCTAAAAATCACATCTCGATGCTTGAGCTTCCTCTGGACTGCATTTAGAACTCTCCTCCATTTCATTAGCCGGTGCCTCTTCTGCATACTGAGCCTCAAAAGCCATCCCCTCCGATGCATCATCTTGGTCTTTTTGACCTGAGCTTCCCTCCATCCTCTCTGGGGAGTCCATATGATTGCTGACCTCTGATGCTCCCATATGCTTCTTCCTCAGGTGCTGGTTAAGGGTGCCCTGAAATGGGAAGCATTTACCACAGATTTGACAGTGGAAAGGCTTGTTGTCTGTGTGGCCACGGATGTGGTACTCCAGTTGATCTTTCCTCGTGTACTTCTTGCCACAGAACTTGCACACAAATGGAGTAATTCCCATATGCAGACGCATGTGGCGGTCCAGACTTCCTTTCTGATTAAAAGACTTTCCACAGTAAATGCAAATGAGTCTCTCGTTGTAGGGGTACCACTGGCTCCGGAGGCTGCGCTCTCGGACATCATTTTCCAGCCCAGTGGCCCCAACGACTGATTCTCCATCATCCGAGCCTGGTTTGACATGACTTAGCACTCCTGCTGGAATGGCCACTGGGCGCTTGGCTCTAGCTCGCCCACCTCTGAAGCCACTGAGCAAAGAGCGAGAAGGACTGGAGCTGCTCAGGTTGACAAAGCAAGGGGAGGAAAGCCCTGAGTAAGAATATGCGGCAGGCTGAATGACAGGACCGTATGAACCCACACTAACAGCCACAATCTGATCTCCATCCACAAGCTCTGTGTGGTAACCATCATCACCAGCTGAGGAACTGTCTGAGTAGGTAGGCCTATCATTTTTCTCGATCTTTACATGCACATCTGTTACTTGCCCATCTTTGCCAATCAGTTCTACTTGCTCCGTTTCACCCTCCATGGGGGCATCTTGCTCTGACACGCCATCACTACTGCCACGATCCGACTGGCCCTCCTCTTGTTGTTGTTGTCGTACTCTGCTTTGGCCTTTTCCTGCTAACTCCAACCGTGCTTCAACACTTGGCTGATTGTGCCGGGAGTAATAAGGGGGGGAGATCTGGGTAGGGTTTATAAAGAGGTTGCTGTCATTCATCCCATTTCGACTTGTTTGCAGGTTGTCCTTCTCTGTGCTGGAGGCACTAGCTGGGAGGCTGATCTTGGAATGGATGCCCTCCAAAATTTGTGTGCACTTGTCAATGATTGCCTGCATCTGCAGAAAGCTGGCTGCAGTGAGAAAACTGATGATATCCTTGAGCTGTAGGGACATGTGGCCTGTGTAGCAGAAAGCAAGAAGCTGTTCAAACACCTCAGGGCTTTTGATGACCGAAATGGAAAGACCACTCATGGTGCTGAGAGCTGAGTGGTCACGAAAGTAGGGTGAACTTGCTGCCAGGACAGCTTTGTGAGCTCGGAACGGCTGGCCCTGAATGTGAACGATGATGTCACACAACTTCCCTTGCAGTCGCAACTCATTGAGTTGAGTAAGAACAGTGTTACTGAACTCCGGCACATCAAACTCGATGTAGCTGCCGTCGTCCATTTCTTGGATATGTTTCTCCAGTTTGTCGACAGCCTAAAGAGTAAAAGAAAAAAGATACAAAACATTAGCCTTCTTTTTAACTTTTTTAATGCACTATGCATTTGCAACTGTTTGTCATTGTCTTCAGTACTGAGCAATTGTCTAATTGTTGCAGCTTGAAGACATCAGTCGACGAATGGAGTAGTTTTTATCCAAACATTTATTTTCTTTTAGCTCCACACAGAATATAAACTGGCTCCACACACTCACGGTGCTTCTGCCGCGGTCAGAGTCCGGGTGTAAAGTAACGTTCAAGAGACGCCCGTTTCAGAACCTTTCCACATGGTGCATTCAGTGACATCCAGTAAATACCAGTACTCTCAGAAATGAACAATCTAACTAAAACATACACCCAAAATAAAGTGTGGGGTGTCTTTGTACAGTCAAATGTACAAAGACACCC